AGGTCTTCTTTTTTGCTTTACAGGTCGGAATGATGGGTCTATGTTGAGGCGATGTACCATGATCTACGGGTCGATACCAGGCATATCCTCGTGAGACCACGCAAAGACGTCCGAGTTAGACCTGAGGAAGTTGATCAGTTCTTTCCTGTCAGTGGCCTCCAGCTTGGTTCCTATGTTTACATGTTTTTCGGGGCTAAGTAAAGGAACGAGCTCGAGCTCCTCTGTTGGCGGGGAGAACTGCCTTTTGCTTTTCTTTGGCAGGTCGGCCTCTGACCCTTGCAGCTTGCCTCGATTGGTTTGTTCTTCAAGCGTGCACACCGCAAACCCCTTGAGCGTGGATGCATAACATTTCCGTGAGGTTTTTTGCTCACCTCGGACCGTGCCCACCCCATTCGAGGTTGAGTACTTCAATACTTGATGCAATGTGGAGGAGACGGCCCAGAATGAATGGATGATGGGTCTCCCGAAGATGGCATTGTAGGCTGACTTATCGTCGATTACCACGAACTCGGCCATCTGCGTTACTTGGGTAGCATCTTGTCCGATAGTTACCGATAGGTCAATGCACCCTTCTGGGGAGACCGATTCTCCAGAGAATCCAACCAAAGGTGTTGGACTCTTCTTTAATTGTGACCTGGTCCATCCCAATGCTAGATATGTTGGGAGGGACCAGATGTTGGCAGATGCGCCTCCATCGATCAACACTCTTCGGACTAGGATGTGATCAATCAGAGGGGCGATCACCAGTGCATCGTTGTGAGGCAAGTGGACCCCCTCCAGGTCGGCGTCGCCAAAAGTGATGGGGCAGGTGGGCTTCTGCTCCCTAATGATGCATACTTCGCGCCTGGTCCCGCGAGCCAGCTTATTTCTCTTGTTTCCGAACTGGCCCCCGCTCGGACCTCCGAAAATAGTATTGATGACCGCAGGTCGGTCATCCCGACGAGGCGGCGTTCTTGAACGCTTCCTCTCTTCCTTCTTTTCGACCGAGTTAGACCTCGGTTTGCCCACGAATTTTTTGAAGTAGCCATCTTGAATGAGTTCTTCAATCTGGCGCTTCAATTCCCAGCAACTTGTCGTATTGTGGCCGTGATCTCAATGAAAACGGCAGTACTTATCTTTGTTGCATTTTTCTGGGTCTCCTCGGAGCTTCTCAGGTCGCTTGAGGAGTTTTTCCATCCCGCTCTCCTCGATGTTCGTGAGCATCTCGGAGATGGGGATGGTGGTTGGAGTGTACCGTTCAAAAGGTCGGCTCCGGGTAGGGCCGCTCTCCGTCCTACGGTACTCTGTTCTGCTACTGGAGGAGGATGGTCCCTTATCTTTGGACCTGACATCAGCCCTCCATTTCACCTGGCCTGGTTTTTTCTGATCGACCTGCTTTTCAGGTCGGCCAGTCTTGGTTCGGAGGAGCTCCTGCCCATCAATGACTTTCTTCGCCTTTTGCAATACCTCGGCGAAGGTGACTGGAGCCTCCTCTCCAAGTCTTATGGTTAAGGTCTCATCGGCCAGGCCTATGAGGAAGTAGGACATGGCCGAGTCATCGGAGCAGTGCACGACCTTTAGCTGCTCCTCCTGGAACCTTGTGACATATTCTTTCAGCATCTCTCCTTCCCTCTGTCTGATGGTGGCAAGGTGAGTTGCTGTCTTTCTGTCGTAATGCCGAGAGGAGAACTGACTGATGAACTCCTTCCTTAGCTGGGAGTAGGTCGAGATCGACCTGGCCGGCAGTCTTCGGTACCACAAGCGCGATCTGGAAGGCGAGGCATTTGATCGCATCTGTCGCCGCTTGAAAGTCCATGAGGCCCTCGAAAACCTCAACATAGTCTTTAGGGTCCTTAGACCCGTCATAGGGCTTTATGGCGGGAGTCTTGAACTTTGGAGGGATTGGAGCCTCCAAGATGTCTGCGGTGAATGGCGATTCTCCCAAGTCGCCATCGTCGAACGAACAGTCTTTCTTCTCGCACCTGGCCTTAAGCGCCTCGACCTGCTCATCGAACTTGTGCTTCATCAGGTCGAACTCTTCCCTAGTGATCACAGCTTCTGGTGCTAGAGGCTTGTATTTTGATTGAGCCTTTAGGTTCGAGTTGGAGAATTCTCGGGAGTAGGAAGGAGAGCCTTCCGGCTCCCGAGATGCTCTCTTCTTCTTTTCAGTGAGATGYTTTCTCAGATCGTTATCCCRCAAGCTGTAATCCACTCCTCCATCGTTGGGAATGGGCTCGCGATCGCCAGGTTGGATAGATGGAGCTCCCTTTTCTCCGGGTGCGCCCGGAGCTATAGAGGGAGACG